CCCTGCACATGTGGCAATCAGCTCAAATGAGATTATAAATTAACAATTCTTCACACTTGAGTGCTTGAGTGAACCAGTAGTTATTTTCTTCTACGTTTTGAGTGCCAGGTGCAGCACTTTCTGGTTTACCAAATATAACTATTGAAAAGGGAAGAAAGACCATTGAATTGAAACTAAAACATCCTGTTTTCTGTTGTCTAAATGCCCTCTTAAAATAGAGGAAAGCAAAGCAAATCAGTTGATGGGTTGGGGGAAAACGTCCTATGGAGGCACAGGGCTTTGGGGAAGCTACTTGTCTGTGAGTTGGGAAATTTAGGTACTATTCTTTGGCTCTGCTGCTGACTCACTGTGTGAACATGAGCCAGTCATATGGGCCTACATGTTCAAAAATGGCCTCCAATTTTGTTTGTCACCATTATCGAAAGCCCAGTTTGAGTCATCTTGGGCCTGATTTTCAGAAGTAATAAGCATCTATAAGTGCAAGCAAAGTGAATGGAAACTGTGGGTGTTCAGTACCTCTAAAATCAGGCTCAAATCATCCCATGTTGGGCAAATAAGGCCTTCATTGATGGTTCTTCGGTTTTTCCTAGCTACAAAATGGGGGTAATAATGTTCAAGCATATCATATGGGTATTTGTAAGGCAGTGTTTATTAACATTTGGAAACAGCTTCAAAATACTTGAGTAGAAGATGTCATCCAAGTACAAATTATTATTAAAGACAGGGAGATAATCCTAATTAAAATAAGGGAAAGGTGCCCCACTGCTCTCATTGGGATTGGATAGAACACCATGCACAGTTTCACTATTTGGAATGGTACAGAGTGCTAAAGAAAAGACTCACTGTTATCAAGCAGTTAGAAATGTTAATTATATACCACAGCAGCCCAACTTGCCTGTTTAAGGGTCTGTGTAGTCAGTGATATTGTACAGATTGAACTTCTCTAGTCTGGCACCCCCGGGACCTGACCGGTACTGAACCAGAGAATTTGCTGAACCATGGGAGGTCAATATTGTCTAGCAGCATTACCAACACTTCCTCTGCTTACGGAGGGTATGTCTACACTACAATGTTAGTTCGAACTAACGGACGTTAGTTCAAACTAACATTCATAGGCGCTACACTAGCGCTCCACTAGTTCGAATTTAAATCGAACTAGCGGAGCGCTTAGTTCGAACTAGGAAAACCTCATTTTACGAGGATTAAGCCTAGTTCGAACTTACTAGTTCGAATTAAGGGCTGTGTAGACTCTTTAATTCGAACTAGTGGGAGGCTAGCCCTCCCCAGGTTTCCCTGGTGGCCACTCTGGCCAACACCAGGGAAACTCTATTGCCCCCCTCCCGGCCCCGGGCCCCTTAAAGGGGCACGGGCTGGCTACGGTGCCCGTGCCAGGTGCAAGCCTGCCAGCACCCAGCCAGCAG